TCACCCCTGGGGCATCCCCAGAGACATGGGGAGGCATTGAGTACACCCTACCTTCGGCAGGATGGGGCTTCAGCCACTTCCCAGCATCCTAAGGGAAGGGGTCCCCCAGGGCCGGAGGATGGAGGGCAGCTGGGTCACAGAGCTAATCACTGTTTAGCCTCATTCCCCCATGATCCTTCCACCAGCTCTGAGAATAACCCTCCTTTATGGCCACCCAGAGCCCCACATAAAGCCCAACTTCCCTGCGGGACAATCACAGTTCCGAATCCACAGGGCAGTTTGACATTAAATAAAGCCCTCTACGCTCCTTTTCCCATCTGCTCTGAGTTTCATTCTACTGAGTCCTCTTAACCATGAGATCAGCTTCATTTGACCTTCCTGGTGTCCCTGAGCAGTGCGCTCCCTCTGATTCCCCAGCTGTCATCACCTGGCACAGCAGAAAGACGCAAAGCCGTTACACGTGGCCACCTTGTTGCCGGAGCCTCTCCAGACCGCTTCCCTAATGACTGATTTTCCTGCCAGTTAGCATCTAAGTCTCTTGCAGCCAGACCTTATGCTATTGCTAATTTTAAAACAATGGTAAGACATTAAACTCTAAACTCTTCTGCTTTGGTTTCTAAGCAATGGCTCTTGCGAACTTCCAACTCACTTATAAGGTGTGATTATAAAATAATAAAGCTGATTATTTAAACAAATGCCTCAGAACACATTCTTTTTATTTTTGAAAGGCAAAAGTTAACAACAAAAAAAACCTTAACCTGTACTTAGACTTTTAAAAAATAATATATCAAGAATCACTTTATTTTAAATGTTACTGCAATGAGGCCATCAAGGTAAATTGAGTTTTTATAGGGTTTACTATCATGCACCTGTGCAACTTTAAGAAATCTGTTATTTGTAATAACCTATAAAAGGAATGTATATGTATAACTGAATCACTATGCTGTACACCAGAAGTGAACATATTGTAAATCAACTGTATGTCAATTAAAAAAATTTTAAAGAAATCTGTTACTATTATATCTTTTACTAAATCCTTATTGATTTTTACACCAATCATTCTTTTATGATGTACAGTTATCTAAAATTGTTTCCATGGGGGGAGGATACAACTCAGTGGTAGGGCGTGCACTTAGCATGCACGAGGTCCTGGGTTCAATCCCCAGGAGCTCTATTAAAAAATAAATAAACCTAATTACTTCCCCAAACAAATTATATATTTTTTGAGCATATATATATATATATATATATAGTCATTTAAAATAATAATAAAAATACATTTTAAAAATAAGTAAAATAAAAATGTTTCTAAAGAGTCACTTTGGAAGGCCCTATGCTTCAGATTCGTTTCGACACCTTTGGGCACTTGAGATAGACTAGACCCGCTGCTCGTGTGCTTCTTATGGTCCCTGTGTGGTCAGCCCACCAGGATGCCTCGTCCTGTGTGAACCGTGGACGGTGGCCCTGATCAGCCAGGCCGAGCGCCCTTCAGTTCCTACTGGACTGTCCACCACCTGGGGGAGAAGTGGGTCCTGCAGACTCGAAGTTGGAACAGAAAACCCCCAGGAGGAAGCACTCCCAGCCTTGTGCAGCGAAGGGCAAGTGAGCAGCCACGCAGAGGCTGGCTGGGAAATCCGGGGGCGCTCATCGTCTCTGTGTGCCCCGGGTCACTGGGAGCAAGACGCGCTGGCAGAGTGCCTGCCATCTCCCGGGCCCCGCAACAGAGGCCCCTCGGAGAGAGGCAAAGATGACCAGTAGTCAGTCCCCCTTTGGACCACAGACAAGGGAACAGGCAGAGCATGTGGGGATTCTAACAAAGACCTGAGCTGTGTGTTGTAGGAGGTTTGGATGAACCACGAAGCCTAGAGAAGTCTTCCTGGAGGAGGTGATGTCTGAGCGAGGACATGAAGGCTCGAAGGGTTTCTCCAGGCTAAGAAGGACGGAGTTCGTTTACAGGAAGAGGGCAAGACAGGCAAACGCAGGGAGAACTCAAGTACAGTTAACAGGATGTGAGCTCTCGTGGCTGGGGTATCGGGCACGCGGCAGCAGGAGGTATAAGGGCAGGGAGTCTGAAAAGGAAAACGAGAACTTTCTGTGCCAAGCTGACGCGGAAGGCTTTGTCCTGCAGGCAAAGAGGAGGGAGCCATCTGTCCCCTCAGGACCTGGGCAAGCTCCAGTACATCTGTTCATGCAACGTGGGCAGGTGGGCTGCAGAAAGGGCCTGGCACAACCTCCTCCCCTGCACTGAGCCAGGACAGACCCTGGAAAAGTCAGCGGCCTGCAGGGGCTGCCCCTGGAGGTCTGGCCAGGCTGGGGACGCAGCATGTGAGAGGAGGATGAGCTTGCTGGGTTGGGAAGCAGACGTAGGGATTCCCCAAAGCTCAGCTGAGTGATGGCCATCAGAAGATATCCAGCTGTGCCCCAAGATGCTCACCAGAAGGGATTCCAGCCCCAGAAGGCACCAGGCAAGTTCCCTAATCGTAACTCAGAGCAAGGACCAAGCCCCACGCACTGAGCAGAGTCAACAGAATGGGATAGAAGATGTAAACAGCCTGGTCCTTGAGGGGGTCATCACTGGGGTATCAGACCCCTTGTCTGCTTTCCAGCAGAGGAGACTCAGAGAGTGCCAGAAACCCCGGAGCTCCTTCCTCAGCCCCAACACCCCGAGTCTGGCTGCACAGGAAGTCAGTTTCCCAGCTCCTCAAAGTCAAGCACACAGGCCCTTTCGATGTTGTGGATTTTACTGCTAATCACTACCAAAATCTAGAGATGTCCGTTCAGTAAACTGTCCAGTGGGTGCTCTGGGGGAACCACTAGGCACGGTGCTGAGGGAACAGACAGGGACACAGGGTCACACAGAGGTGATGAGCCCCCCGAATTTGGCAGTCCCAGGTAGGGAGAGTAGGGTGGGGAGAGCAGAGGATCCTGCAGCAGAACAGAGGGGCTCCCAGACTGAGGGGGGCTCCAAGCATTTCCTAGAAGAGTCACCAGAGGACAAGCAGGAATTCACTAAACAAAGGGTGTTCCAGGCAAAGGAGCAGAAGGTACAAAAGTCTGCAGGGAAGAGAAGGTTCTAGAAATCCCAGACACTCGCAAAAGTCTCTTAGTGTCTTTCCTAGAGCAAGGGAGGCAGTGTGCGCAAGGGTCAGGCCAGTCCGGCAGGTGGAGGGTGAGGGAGGTGCTGGGACTGCCCAGGTTCACACTCCAGCTCCACTCCGGACGCCGGCAGGTTACACCAGCATCCTGGCCCTCGGTTTCAGGCAGCAAGAATAATGTTCACCACAAAGGATGGGCTCTGTAAGCATTGATTTCTCCTATTTGTCCCTGAAATATGAGAGCTGCCACTGCCTGGACCGAGCAGGGCAGAAGTCCAGTTAAGGACAGATGCAGGGACAAGCTTGCTCCTGGGCCCTGGGCAGCAGCTGAGCCACCTGGGCCTCAGTCCGCTCCTGGACCTTGAGGACCTTTTGGTCCCAGCATAGCAAGTGCAGTGAGCTTCATCTGAACCTTCCTTCCCACAGTCAGCCTCACGGTGGCCTCCGCCTCTGTCAGTCTTGTGCCCTGGGCTGAGAGATCTTGATGGTGTCTGCTCACACCCAGAGTCCACTTCAGCTGACACTGAATCTAGGGCATCCCCCCAGCTAGAACCCCCACCCCGCACCCACACACATCAATCCACCAGGAAGGCCTGTGCGTGAGCTCCCACACCGCGAACAGGTGCGTGCCCACACTCACACATACACACAGGTGCACGTGCTGCAGGTCCTGTCACACAAAGCCTGCCCTCTCTGCTTGGCCCACCTCTCTGTGTCACCCCTCTCCATCACCCAGCTCATCCTTCTCCCATCTTCCCGGCCCTGTCCCCCAGGGCACACTGAATTTACAGGGGCCCCTCCCTGGTCACACCCTCTGGGAAGGGAGCCAGGGCCCAGGTGCAGAACCACCAGGAACTTCTCTCCTTCCCGCTCTGGGCAGAGTGCACCCTCCTGGCAACTCAGAGACCGGGGTCTCCTCCCAACACCTTCCCAATCCTGGGCATCGGCAGCAATGCCTTTGTCTTCAAAGTGAGGTTAACAAACCCGCCTCAAAGGGTCAGACAGTGTGGGATTAAGCGGCCCCGGAGGCCTCAGGCGGCCGCTCCCCGTCGGCTCCTCCTGCTGGCCCACAGCTGCCCTGCCGCGGCCACTGCATGACTGCTCCTCTGAGAGGCTGCGTGTCCTCAGGAGACCAGCAGCGTGTGCACACGCACGTGCGTGCGTACACGACCACCACCCTTCACTGACCCAGAAGAGCTCTTCTGACTTGTTCCCCCAATAACAGGAATGAGCCACCCTGAAACTTCCACCTTCTTCAGGCAGCTCGGGGATCACAGGTGACCAAGTGATGGAGGTGATCACAGTGAGGCCCGTCTGCAGCCAGATACCAGGGGAGCTCTGGTCAGTGCTGAGAAAACCAGTGTGCCCAGAGCTGGTTTGCTGTGGGGGCCCAATTACATAGGGTCCATGTGAGTCTGGGTTAAGGTCAAGATAAGGCCAAGTTAGGGGCTTAGCCAAATACAGTCCCAGGCTAAAGTCAGTACGGGCTGGATTCATGGACTGTGTAGGGGCCAAGAGTAGGCTAGATCAGTGTTCAGCACAGGGCCAGCTTCCGAGGCCAGTGTGGCACCCAGCAAAGCATCATGACCCTGGGGGCCAGACTGGGATCCCTTTAGGACAACCTCTCTATTCAGAACAGTCAGGTGGCTCTTTGCTCTCCCAAATCCAGGACCGCATGGAAGTAGGGCCCTCCGGAGGCAAGAAGCCCTGAAGGTGAGTCGTGTCAGGCCCCAGGGAGCGCCCCCCCACTCCAACACCTCCAGACGTTGGAGCTGCCCCTGCAGGCCCTGTGCACACAGAAAGACCGGCCCGAACTGTTGCCGAGAGGCCAGTGCACAGGTGCACTGTGGCTGTGACCGTGGGGTACAGCTTGCTGATGGCTGCACCCTCCCAGCACCACTGGAGTCTCCTCAGGATAATTATTTATTATTCATAGTCATCAGCATCTTCATTAATTATTCATATGATCCTTAATTATTATCCTTAACAATAAGAGCAGTAAATAGCAGAAAAGTCCTTGAGGTGCCTAAGGCCCAGGGCCGGGTGCCTCCGGGCAGTTAGACCAGCTACTGCCCCCAGGGCAGTGGGGGGACCACAGACCCCCGTCCACTGCCCCGCCCTGCCCCTGCCCCTCCCACGGGGGCTCAGGGGACCGCAGGAGGAGATGGTCCCAAGGGCTGGGGGAGGGGCTGTGCCTTCCTGTTCCTCTCCCCTCCGCGGCCAGGGCCTCCCGGGCAGGGCCTCCACGGGGAGGGGCCCAGACAGTGCGCTGAACCCTGGGTGAGCCATGTGTCCACACTGGGCAGCCCCACTAACTTCCTGGGTCTGAGCCATGTCTGTGCAGGGGCTGGGAGGTGAGGGCCCCCAGCTGGCCCGGCAGGGAGAGGCGTCGAGCGGGGCCATCTTGGGGTAGCTCCTCGCACGCCATGAACTGGGAAACCTGCAAAAGAAATGGAGTGAGAAGCCAGGAGTGGAGGATGTATAGAGGGGGGGGATGGTCAGAGGACAGAAAGGGTCAGGAGGGAGGCCGACAGAAGAGGGCAGGAGGGGATAAAGAGACCGGCCAAGGCAGACAGAGCAGGACTCCGACCACAAAGGGGAGGCCCGAGGTTGGAAGGAGAGAAATGCACTCTCAAGGGCAAGAGCCAAACCCAGCAGCTGGGGGCCTCGGGAGCTTCCACCTGCCACAGGGGAGAGCCAAGGCCGTAGCTGCTTCCTTCCCCAGGGAACGTGGCAGCTGAATTGAAAACCAACCCAGAATAAGGGACCCTAAGCTGGGACAGAAGCTGGATGGAAAGAGAAACAATGTTCCTTCCTCCAATCTAGAAAGAACTCAGGGACCCAGAAACAGAGGCAGGCTGGCGGCCAGGCCTCGGAAGGCCAGGGAGAGTGCCAGGGCAGGCGGGAGGGGGTTTGTGGGTGCTGACGAGTCTGCTGTGAGATCTCTGCGGGGGCGGCTGTGAAGGGAGACTGGCACATTTGCTGACGTGGGCTCTGGTGTCTGCAAACAGGAGCAGGCAGCATATGGGAGGGGGGAGCAGATGCCAGAGGAAGTGGGGATCAGAGCCCAGGCCACCTCTGGTAGCCAGAGGAGCCCCTTCTAGGGGCCCAGACACAGCTCTCCTGTCTGGACGCCACTCAGGAGAGGACAAAGGACAACAGAAGCCCATCTCTGGCAGGAGAGGAGAGATGCCGGCCAGGAGTGCTACCCTGGGGCTTAGCCAAAGCCTTGAGGACAACCCTGCAAAGGGCCCAGCATGAGAGCCACTGGTTGGCAGTAGAGCCAGACCCAGGGGGTGCCAGGCACTGCAGGGACCTGGGACCCTGTCCCAAGGGGACCCCGGCATACAGACCCACCACCAGGCCTCGGGCTCAACAGTCCCCTCTACTTGTAGCCATGACACAGGCACCATGAGTAGATCTGGCCATGCAGGTGACACTGGGGGAGCACATGTCACTCAGCTGGCTGATTTCCTTGGCCCAGCTGTCTAGGGGCTTGGTTTGAGGGCTCTCCTGCCTTGCTCTGTCCTCACAGCTCCTGGAGCACAGCCTGGGAGGAGGGCAGGAACAGGGTGGGAGGAGCCTGGGGCCCAAGGCCGAGCAGAAAGGGTAGCAAAGCAGGTCTGGGAGGGAATCAGGGTAGAAAAGGCAGGGATGGAATGCTCAGAACTTACCTGAGAAAGCGAGTCCAGGGTGAGGGTGGGGATGGGGCTGACGGGCAGCAGAGGGGAGGTGGAGGTAGGGCCAGGCCCCGGGGTGGTCACAGCACTGTAGGCAGGTGGGACCAGCGTCATCTGCCTCTGCAGCAGCTGCAGAACGGTGGCCATGTCTGCACTCAGCCGGGTCTCCAGCCTGGGGCAAGAAGGAGGAGGATGCTCTGGGTCTCCAGGAGGTGGAGACATGAGTAACTGTGACTTGGGGACCACCCTATGGACAGCCAGCTGGTCAACCCCAGGCTCGCTCTTCATTCTAGGTGTGGCAGCCCCTGGTTCAGCTCTGAATGCAAGAAGACGGTCAAGCTACTGGACACTCAGACAGGACTGGACAGAGCAGACACCCCTGCACCCTGCAACACTGCCAGAAACCCACAGGTCACAGAGCAGTACTCCCACGCCCAACACCTACTAGACCGTCCCCCTTGACACATACACCTGGGCCTAAGCTGGATCCCAGGGACCACCCTCACCTGTTGAGCTGCCTCTGGAGGGCATCCAGCCTGCTCTCCACATCGCCCCGGGACCGCCGGCCCGGGCTGGAAAGAGGGATGTTGAGGAGGCTGGGGGCGGGGCGGGGCAGCGAGGCAGCTCCTGGTACTGGCGGCCCCGGCTGTCCCCCCAAAAGCTGAAGATGTTGGACACTCCTGAGAAGGCGCCTGGAGCCAGAGAACTGGGTTGAGATGGGGACAGATGCCATTTCCCGCCCACCCGGGCAGCCCTGGCCCTACCTGACAGGGGGTTACAAGTGTCACTGCTCTTCT